TACAACCACTTTGGAAATCAATATGGCGCTTCCTTAGAAAATTGGGAATCAATCTCCCCCAAGATCCAGTTATACCACTCTTGGGCATATACCCAAGAAATGCTCAACCACACCATAAGAGCACTTGTTCAGTTATGTTCATATCAGCATTGTTTGTAATAGCCAGAACATGGAAACAACCCAGATGCCCTTCAACTGAAGAATGGATAAACAAAATGTGGTACATATACACAATGGAATACTACTCAGCAGAGAAAAACAATGGCATCATGAGGTTTGCAGACAAATGGATGGATCTAGAAAAAATCATCCTGAGTGAGGTAACCCAGACTCAGAAAGACAAACATGGTATCTACTCACTCATAGCAGGATACTAGACATGAAACAAGGATGACTTGTCTGCTACTCACATCACCAGGGAGGCTACCTGGAAAACAGGACCCCAAGAAAGACACAGGGATCACCCAATGACAGAGAAATGGAATGAGATCTACATGAACAGCCTGGACATGAGTGGGGGTAATGAAAGGCGAGGGTTGAGGGAAAGAGAGCTTGGGGGAGCGGGAGATCCCAGCTGGATCAACAACAGAGAGGGAGAACAAGGAATAGGAGACCATGGTAAATAAAGACCACATGAGAATAGGAAGAAGCAAAGTGCTAGAGAGGCCCACAGAAATCCACAAAGATACCCACACAACAGACTGCTGGCAGTGGTCGAGAGACAGTCCGAACTGACCTACTCTGGTGATGGGATGGCCAAACACCCTAATTGTTGTGCTAGAAACCTCATCCAACTACTGAGGGATCTGGATGCAGAGATCCATGGCTAGGCCCCGGGTGGAACTCTGGGAGTCCAATTAGCGAGAATGAGGAGGGTTTATATGAGTGAGAATTGTTGAGACCAAGGTTGGATAAAGCACAGGGACAAATAGCCAAATGAATGGAAACACATGAACTATGAACCAATGGCTGAGGGGTCCCCACTGGATCAGGCCCTCTGAATGGATGAGACAGTTGATTGGCTTGATCTGTTTGGGAGGCACCCAGGCAGTGGGACCAGATCTTGTGCTCATTGCATGAGTTGGCTGTTTGAAACCTGGGGCCTATGCAGGATTGTTTGGCTCGGCCTGGGAGGAGGGGACTAGACCTACCTGGACTGAGTCTACCAGGTTGACCTCGGTCTGTGGGGAAGGCTTTGCCCTGGAGGAGATGGGAATGGGGGGGGGGTGGGGGGAAGGTGAGGGGGACGGGAGGGGGGAGAACAAGGGAATCCGTGGCTGATATGTAGAACTGAATTGTATTGCAAAATAAATTAATAATAAAAAAAAAACAAAAAAAAACAGCATGGTAGTGGCACAAAAGCAGACACATAGATCTGTGGAGCAAAATAGAAGACACAAATGTGAGTACATATGATTACAGTCACCTGACACTTCACAAAAACACCAAAAAACACAAATTTTTTTTTTTTTTTTTTTTTTTTTTTTTTTTTTTTTTTTTTTATTTTTTTTTTTTTAATTTATTTTAATTTATTTTGCAATACAATTCAGTTCTACATATTGGTCACGGATTCCCTTGTTCTCCCCCCTCCCGTCCCCCTCACCTTCCCCCCAACGCCCCCCCCCCATTTGTGTTGTTTCTTTTTTTTTTTTTTTTTTTTTCCCCTTTTCTATTTTAATAAAAAGGAAAAAAAAGAAAAAGGTTATAACTAACAAAAGAAAAACTATATACAAAAGTACAATGACTATATACAATATATACAAGTAATAAATGTCTAAACAATGTCTAGTCCATTTGTATTTGACAAATTCAGAGAAAATAATTTCATTATCTATCCTATTTTGTTAAGTCCAAAATGTATCTAATTCACTTTCTATCCTAATTAATCTTCAACTATAACTAACTAACCTTCAACTATAACTAACTAATCTTCAACTCCCTCAGAGACCCAAGAAGGAAATAATATTAGCTAACAAAAATAAAAACAGAAAGTGCATGCAAGCACAAATTTGAGAATATATAACATCTTTAACATGTGATCCTGGGAGTACACATGTAGAATAATGGAATTATACTTGTCTATCATCCTGTACAAAATAAACTCTAAACAGGTCAAAGACATCAAAGGCAGCATATTTGCTACCAGGGACATGCAAATTAGAACTACTTTTAGATTCTGTATCATTATGGTTGGAATGGCTGTCATCAGTAAAACATATGACAACAAATTCTGGTCTGGCAAGGATGTGGAGAAAGGGAATCTTTATTGTTGGTGAGAGTAAAACTGGTACATAAACCACAGAAATCATTGCAAAGAATTCTCGAAATAAATATAAAAGTAGCCTTTAATCCCAGCACTTGGGAGGCAGAGCCAGGCAGATCTCTGTGAGTCTAAGGCCAGCCTGGTCTACAGAGCAAGATCCAGGACGGGCACCAAAAACTACATGGAGAGACCCTGTCTCTCGAAAAACAAACAAACAAAAACTAGGACTTTCATTCATACTATTTCTGATCATGTACATAAAGGATTCTTTAGAGTTAACTGTACAACTATATTTGTTTCTACTGTATTTAAAATAGCAGGGAAATAGAGTCAGCAAAGGTATTCATCTACTGGTGAATGAAAACTTATAAATTCATACATATACACTATGGGATTTTACTGTCATAAGGAATAAATTATGAAATTTATAAGAAAAATTTTAACACTGGAAATATTATATCAAGTGAGGAAACTCAGGCTCTAAAAGGAAACCCTAACCTTCTCTCTCATATGTGCACCCCAGCTTCTAAACTTTAGATGCATGCATTTTTTGAATGAGTATGTGAAGAGACTAGGAGACTAGAAAGAGGCCTGTGAGAAAGACTTTGTAAGGGTGGTAGGACATAGCACACATGTGATATGGAAGTGGGAAGGGGGACACTGAGAGTAAAATGATTTAAACAGTGAGGAAGGGTGGGGATTAGGGGGGAGAAGTGGAGTTGGAGGGAGGGTCGACCAACCTAATGATGTTTGACAAAGTTGATACTTCATAAGCTAATGAAAAGAAAAATGAAATAATGAGATCTTGGTAAGAGGCAACCTGTGTGAGTGAATAAAGCTGTTTACAGAAGACTTCAGATATTGAATGAAAATTCCAGTGCCAGGTGTAGCGTATTTCTTTGTGAGTTGTTCAGGAAGTCTTCATAAGCTCCCATAATAATACAGTTGTTGGTTGACCACTATTACTAGACAGAAAAACATTGCTGAAGACACCTCATGCCTTTGTCAGGACATAGAGAAATTAATCTGGGACTGGGCTGGAAGTTTCCTCCCTGCTAGTTACTCCCTTGTAATACCAGAGTATTTTATGTAGTCTCTTGGGAGATTATCATCAGTCGTCTTACTCAGCTTTGTCCTGTGTGCACAACAATATCATACTTCAGAGATATAGCTCACTTCTACAATAGTGAAAAGTCTGTCATGGGTGTAATTAACCACTTTATGGTTGTATTTGATGCTAGATAAGTAGGGCAAAATTTATATATGATTTTTATCCCTGGTAAAAAGCCCATGTCTGGGGAAGGTTATAGGTCCCATTGGGAAAACAGCTGTTTCTAGCAAATGGACATGATATGCCTGTCAGATTGCCTTTTAAATAATTATGTTTATGCATATAGAACAATGTATACTTTCGACTTATGTTAGAGAAGCTAATTTTTGCAATGAGCAGTGGTTAATACATAGATGCATAGCTGGTAAAATACTGAGAAAAAAATGATTGTGATTGACCAGTGGTATAAAGGGATGTATATCACTTCCTCCAAGACCATTAAAGAATCAGGATCCATTAAAGAACGAGAGGGGAATGAATGTAAGAAATTGAGATAGAGGTGTGTGACGTATTGACTTCAGGGAATGACAGGGCTATTACACTCAAACTCACAACAGCTACAATTATCTTTATAAGATCCCTACTTGACTGGGCCCATCAAGATCTTGTCATGGAAGGGGGTCTTCATAGAGGGGTCACCACTTCTTGAAGATTTATACCATGACAAGTACAGATCAGGAAGGGCCTGACATTTTCTTCAGTGGTGTCGCCACTGACAAAATGGTCTGCTCCTGTAAACAACCGTAGTAAAACCCATTGGGTCACAAAAGAAGTCATGAAAGTAGAAGCAAAGCTATTTGGGAAGATGAAGGGGGTTAGGAGGTGTGGTAGTTTGGCAAGAGACCACAGTAGGGAGTGAATACAATTTATTCATATGTATTAAAATGAAAAGTCACCATAATGCATAATTAATATACACTAATAAAACATTAAAAATAATGTTTGCAAGATGATGGAGAAAAGAGAATTATTCTATACTGTTATCAGGAATGTTAATTAGTACAGCCATAATAGAAAACATTAAGGAAGTTTCTCAGAAAACTAATACTTGAAATAATTTGGCTATCACTTTTCTAAATTTATATATGGTATATACACCCACAAAGATATTTGGATTCCCCTGTTTATGAAAGTTTAACCACAGTATACATTATGTGAATACATACACGGTAAGTGTACTTTCATTGGTGAGTAAAGAAATTGTTCTTTGCGGCTAGAGCAATGACTCAGTGGTTAAGAGCGTTTATTGTAGAAGACCTAGGTTTGGTTTCCAGTACCACAGAGTGGTTCCCATGCATCAGTAACTTCGGTTCCAGAGGATCTGATGCCCTCTTCTGGCATCCACAGGCACTGCATGCAAGCAATGACTAGCGTATCCAAGACACTGGCAAAACACTTATATACAAAATAAAAATAAATTAATCTTTAAAAATTAGTTGATTTCTATAAAATGAGATTTTATCCTCCCATAAAGATTAGGATTCAATGTCATTTACAGCATCATAGATAAATCTTGAGGGGATTATATTAACTTAAAGAATCAGAAAGAAAAATACAGTTGTACAGGATTTTTACTATTTGAGTGTATTGAACTCACTGTAAGTAATTTGTGTTCATAGGTGTTATTCAGGACATTTTCCTAAAATGCAGAAGCTGATCACTTAGTCTCTTCATTGCCACCTTCATGTCTTTGTTCCTCAGTGTGTAAATGGCAGGGTTCAGGATGGGTGTAATCATGAAGTCCAGAATGGCAAGAAACTTATCCACTGGGACAGTAGGAAATGGCCACATGTACACGAAGATGCATGGTCCAAAGAACAAAACCACCACAGAGATGTGAGCAGAAAGTGTGGAGAGAGCCTTGGACAAATCACCTGATGAATGTTTCCATACAGAGAACAGGATAAGAATGTAGGAAACAATTAATAAAAAGAAGGTGCCAATAGAAATGATGCCACTGTTGGCAGCAACCATGAATTCCATTCTGTAAGTGTCTGTGCAGGCCAATTTGATGAACCTAGGAAGATCACAGTAAAAACTATCTATCTTATTAGGACCACAAAATCTCAAATGGACAATAAAAGCTAACTGGGCCACTGAATGCAGGAACCCAATAATCCAAGCACCAGAAAGAAGCAAAAGGCAAGTCCTTGGGCTCATGATGGTCAGGTAGTGGAGGGGCTTGCATATGGCCACATATCTGTCCCAGGCCATGGCTATCAGCAACACCATCTCACATCCTCCTAAGACATGAAGGACAAATATCTGGAAGACACAGCTCTGGAATGAGATGGTATTGTGCCCAGAGTACAGATCAGAAATCATTTTGGGAACAGTTAAGGTGGAAAGACATAAATCAATGAATGAGAGGTTTCCCAAAAGAAAGTACATAGGGGAATGTAAACGTGGGTCAAAGGCCACTGTAAGCACAACAAGGGTGTTTCCCAGCACAATGGCTACATAAAACACCATAGAGAAGACAAGGAAGAAATGTTGTATTGGTCTAGATGTTGAAAGTCCAAGAAACACAAATTCAGACACCTCTGTGTAATTTGTTTCATTCATTAACCTTTGTTATATTTCCTGAAATAAACAGGAAAAATAAAAATTATAAAGGAATGTACCATAATTTTAAAAGAAGCAAGAGCTGATATTAGTGAAAAATGTTCATTCTCATATAGAAAAGTCCTTGGAAAATGTATTTGCTCATTCATTTAACAAGTGTTCAACAACTGGGCAGATAAGTATGTAGAAGTGGAGTGTGCCAGTTACTGTACCATATGCAATAAACACAGACTCTATCTTCATACAATGTTCTGTCTAGATGTGAAGTGAGACATGAAATGAGTAATAACATTATGTGTGCTATTATGAGTAAGTTGAATAGACATGAATCAGAAACTGGGTGATACATTAGCTTACAGCTGTACCACACACCACACCGGAAGGTGTCTGTTTTAAGAAATAAAGAATCAATAATGTTAGATGAGTGAGTGAGTGAGTGAGTGAGTGAGTGAGTGAGTGAGTGAGTGAGATCTGTTTATAGGTTGAAAATTATTTAGAAATACCCAGGAGTATAACGTAACCAAAAAACTCAGCAACAAGTAAGTAATCAGTAAGTTTCTGATTCAGATACTTCATGTGTGTGTTAAGAAATAGGTCTACACATATTCATGTGGAGTTAAGGGAGTTGTGTTAACACTTTAAGAATGATTAGTAGCTATAGTATGAAGAAAGTAGTGGAAGAATGTATGAGAAGGAAATCACACAGATCAGCTGTAAGTTTATCAAGGAATGACGCAAAATAGATCTAAAAGGGAGAAATTTCTCATAAAATGGTGCCAAATTAACAAACTTAGGAGGAAAAAAGAATGACTTTTGTGACTACAAGGAGTTTGATTGCTATGTCAATAAAACATTTTTAAAATGTAGTATGCATATTTTTAATTAATTGTGTGGAAAGGACCATAGCAAGAATGGACCTACAGTTGCAATGCTTACAGAAGAATGGGTGCTCTTGCATTCTAAAATTTAAATATTCTATCCAAGCCTTTATATTAAAATGAATTTAAGAGCATAAATATTAAAATATAGATAAAATGAAATCTACAGCAAATAGATAACAGCTATGGATGAATTAGGAAGTCCATATAATCAGTATATGATCTAAACTCATGTAATGAAAGATGTGTAAATTTAAAATCTTATGATACTATTTTGTATGTAGAAAACTGTGAACATAAATAAAAATGTTACAAGTGGAACTCTGAGGACAGACTTTTTTTTCACTGAAACTCAAAATATGAAATCATGCATCAGCTAAAGCAAGACAGTCTTAGACTAATATTCCATTATATGAAACTTTAAGGAGATGCCCGTACCATGTGCTATTGGGTAAATATTATATCATCAACTACTTTCAAAAAATAATGTAACTTGAATAAAAATAGACTAATCATAACATATTCAGGTGGGTAAAGCTTTAATTCCTTCACAGAAAAATAATATAAAAGAAAACATGCTTGTAATGTATTCTGATTTGTAAGAAAATAAAAACAACTTAGAAAACATTTTTAAAATTAACACTAGAATACCAAAAGAAATCAGAAGTAATGGTTATTGGTTTTAGGCTAGTATTTACTTATTTCTTGAACATAGGAAATTATACTTTCAATACATTTAAATGTAGTCAAAGATCAATTTCAATGTGTCCCATCTAAAATTTTAATTTATTCTTCCTTGTAATATTTTGTTAAACTCTTGCATTTTTAAAACTATTTCCTCCTTTATAAAACAATACTTTATGAAGCCTGAACTGAACATCATGCATTGCTCAGCACCAAGCTCCTTCTTGGTCCTGTTCCACTGGCTTTCCATGTTGCCACTCAGCACCATGCCAGGCTCCCAAGTTTAGCACTCCAACAGTGTAGTACAAGTTTCTTGACTACAGAATCTAAATAATGATTTTAGGACTTGTAGGTTGCACAAGACTAGGTAGGCATCCTATGTTTTACGGATGTGATGTGATATTATATTATAGCTGAAAGGAGACATTGTAGTGTCAATGCTTGAGGTCCTAACACAAGGTCTCTGGATGTTAAGAATTATATTGATAACAACTGGGATGAAACAGAGCGGGACTTAGGTTGAGCAAATTATACAAGGGTCACTTGATTTATTGTAATTCTTCTTTAATAAGTTCAGTGACTTTTGCTAAGTTCACAATCCTCAAGCCACACAGACTGTCTCCCATTCAAACATGTAAATTTCTCTTACAATTCAAAAGTGCTTCCCAATTTTCTTCAAACACTTGAATAATCCTGTTTGTTTTCTTGCTTGCTTGCTATGGTTGAATTACTACAGGCCTGTATTTGTGCAGACTTTTTCTTATTCACACATCAACTTCATGCCTCATCTTTGCAGGACAGTTTCTTCTTCCTTCACAGCCTGTGATAGACCTAGACCTTTGAATTCTTGTATCATTTTATACAGTCATCCATCAAAAGACTGTTGACAATTGTGGGTGACATTTGACAATCTTACTGGTTGTTCTTTTCATGTCTTAAAGATAGTACCTTAGTCACAAATTGCAGCCCATACATTTATCCAATAATCATTCATGAGTATTCAGACATATGGATGGTTAGATAGCTGATCTAGTTTCTTGGTACACAATATTTTATTCTATTTTGTTCATGGCGATGCAACTGCAAACTACATTGCCAATTCGAGCGATGAACCAGTCCCTACTCACCTGCTTGTCACAATGTACTAAGTCTAGAAATTGAGTTTAATGAATTAGAGGGAAAATTATCCAAGGGATAGTCTGACTCTATTGATATTTGAAGAGTGCATGAATACATTACTATTTTTTAAACAAAATAACTGATAGAGAAGACTTCCAATGGTAGCAAATCCTACAGAATAATAAGCAAGATAAGAAGATTTGACACGAATGTGTATCTGTTGAAATCCACTCTGCAAATGCAGGGGACTGTATTCAGGGTCCCCTGTCTAATCCAATTCTTTGCAAGGTTGGGGTGTGTAGCCAATTTAGGGGCACTTTTGAACAGAAATGCTGACATGCCCATGTGATTTCTGCTATGTTCTTTGTTGGCTAAATATTCTTTCTTAGATATTTATATCCTCACTTCTTCCTTGGGAAATGTACTCCACTCAGATTCAACTCTGTCCAGAAAAGTTTGCAGAACTCACATTACAATGTAGCTCATATGTGCCTCTCCTGGTATCTTTAATTCTCCTTAAAGGAAGAAGGTACTGGAAATGGCAGCAGTGGGAACTGAGGATATTATTTGTGGCAATTAACTTATGCTATTTCTCAGTTATTATCGATGAAGTAATTTGGCTCAAGCTTCAAATTTCACTGTATTTACTATGGTTTCATCCATATGTCCTTCTATTGGTACCTAAAGTTATTATCTCAGTGGGTATTTCTTTTACAGTTTGTTTATATCACTGAGTATTTCTACATATGAAATCATTTTTTCCAACAAAGATGAAATAGTTTTAAAACTAAATATAAATGCATTACTATCCAATTGTTTGGAATCATCAATCATGTCATTTTCACTAATCATATTAATTCAAATGTAATTGAAATGTAAATGAAGGTACACAAATTTTGTCTTTCCTAGGTTCTATAGTGAATCTTTGATATTGCCTATATTTGTTTTGAGTAAAGGTTAGAATTATAAAACATATGATATTTTCAACTCTGTACTATCACAAATTTGTTAAAATAACTTTAAATACTTACATTAATAACTGTTTATAATATCTTTCCAATAGAGGAACTATAGATTGATGTTATTATTAAAGTGACCCATTTAAAACTTTCACCTCTTATCCCTGATGAAATTTATGAAGTTATTGGGTAATGTGTTCTTAGAGATTATTGAATAATTTTATTTATATATTTTTAGAAGTATTTGTAAAAAGATTTATTTTCAATGTTTTATTATCAGGAAAACATGAGTTACCCACCAATAGGTAACAGACTACTCATATCCTTAAGATTTTATAAGTATAAGATAAAATAGAAGAAAAAAGTATAAATGTCAACATCTTCAATGTCTGTTCAAAATAAAACAGTACTTATTCATATGTAAGGAATTTACATGATGCATTTGGTTTTAATTTAAAACATAATCTTATCCAACTTGCCTCTGTGACCTACCAGAAAAAGCTTTGATGTCATATAAAAACCAATCCTTCTGTGAAAAATAGGCATTTTCTAATAATCTTATAGTCACTGTTCTATGAACTTCAAATTACTTTTTTTATAACCACATGTAGAGGCTTTAAAGGCATTGAAGTATAATTGACACATCTAAATGTGTATTGCTAGAAAGTAAGGCACATTTGTGTTGCAGAGGCATCCTTGGTAAAGTTAAAAATGATGACACTCATTCTCTGCTCCTGCATAGTCTCATCCAGGAGCTGTAAGACTTGGAATTCCTAAAGTGTAATGTTTTTGTTGCTGTCCTATTTTGTGAGACACATAAGACAAAACCTGAAATAGAAACTGAAGTATTCTGTAAGATTCCCTTGAATAAATATGAGAAACTGAATAGACTCATCTAATCCAACAGTGTGGGGAGTAAAAGGAAAAAAAATCACTAGTGAATTTAACACATTTATTAATATCCTTCAGACACAGTTCAAAAAAATCACTTAATAGAGTAATATATGTCTCTTTCTATGCATCATGAATCAAAATCCTTTAGTTTCTATTATGAAAACTTAGCATTTAAAAGACATTTAATAAATGATGGCAAATGGGCCAAGAGAAAGAATGGTTATTCTTCTGATACCTCAAAAGCCCATCCACTTCTCTTTTTTCTTACCTGATCAGAAAAATGAAGAAGAAAATGTATGTTAGTAAGCAATATTTTCAGTTGTTTTTAATTTTTTTTGCTAGTTCCTGTGAGTACTTTTGTTACATAACTAGGAAGTTAAATCATCACAGCACAAAAACCAGCTCTCAGTGACCACTTGATATCGGTGTCCTAATAGTCCTCAGTCCATTCATCTTGGGAATTCTG